CCCCCCCCCCCGCCCCTCCCCGGCCCGGCTCCAGCGCCTGCACTAGCGCCGCCGTCTCCCCCGGGGCCTGCTCTGCCCGGGGCCATGAATATCTTCAGGTTCCTGGGGGACATCTCCCACCTACTGGCCATCATCATCCTGCTGCTCAAGATCTGGAAGTCCCGGTCCTGCGCGGGTGAGAGCGCCCCACGCCCCCTCTGGGACCCCGTGGAGCCCCGCACGGAGCCCTACGCCCCCATGGACCCCCCACCCCCGAGCTCCCCATGGAGCCCTGCACCACCATGGGCCTCTGCTAGCTCAGCCCAGCCCTGGGTCACCAGGAGTGGAACCTGGAGTCTGGGGAAAGGCAGGGGGTGCTGGATATTGGGGTTCAGGTTCCTGGGAACTGGAGGCTGCTCCCTCCGGGGCAGAAGGGACTTCTTCCCAGGACCTGTGAGGCTCCCAGGCAGATTTGTGGTGTAGGCTGGGGAGCCCAGATCAGCTCCCTCCCAATAGGTTGCCCCATCATGGAGCAGGGTCAGCCACCCAGGAAGATGGAGTTGGGGAGGAAGGGGCTGGGGCTGGGCCCTGGGGTGTGGGGGGCAGTGGTTGTGCTTTGGAGTATAGTTGAAACCTTAGGGGGAGTATTAGAGTCCTGATCCCTCTCCCTGGGAGGGGGACACCCTGTGAAGTGAATGCCAGCCTCATACCCATGCCCCTTTGAGACAGGAGCCCTCTGAGGCTGAGATCTCAAATAAGTGGGGTTCCCTGGGGGAGCAGGGCTGGGGGTGTTGGGCTGCAATGAGGATTTCTCAGGCAGTGTGATGGGTGATCTCTGGTGCTGTGATAGGGTTCCCAAAGGCTGGCATGAATTGAGGAGCTCCCCCCTGTAGTGTTGGGGTACTGGGCAGAGGAGGTGTCTCTGACCCCTGAGGGCTCTGGGCTGTGGGGAATTGGGGTGTCCCTGGGGTGTCTGTGCTGTGGGGGGAGGGGAGGAAGGTGGTGACGTGGAACCCGGCAAGGGGCAGGGCTTTGGAGCCTGCTCGGCTCCCTCTTCCCCCCCACATCCTCTGTATTGAGGATCCCCCACCCTGGGTGATGTTCCCTGGACTCACACTCCCCCTCACACACCCTGGGTGGGGGCCCCTCAAGGGGCTGGGTGTGGGGAAGGTAGAGGCCTGTGGTGTGTGGAGCAGCACCGGGCTGGATTTGGTGGCTTCCCCTGAGCTGTGGCACGATCTCTGGGTAGGAGAACTGGGAAAGGCCCTGGACGGGGTAGGCCTGGAGCAGCCTGCTGTGCCCCCTTACTTCAACAAGCAGCTTTGTTCTTCCCCAGCCCTGCTTGTGCCTTGTACCCCTGGCTCCCACCCTGCTCGCTTCCCCAGCCCTGCCGGTGCCCCTCACTTCCCCCTGCTAGACCTGCAGTGGGCTTCCCTCCCAGCTCTGATGGTCCTGAATTCCTGCTTGCTTCCAGCCCCCGTCTCTTCTGCACTGGGGTTCCCCCTCACTCTGGGATTCCTGATGCCCCACAACCCCTCGGGTGCCCCCATGTTTGTGCCCCCCATAGTCTCAGTTCCCTTCCCCATGCCCTAGCCCCTTCCCACTTCAGTCCCATTCAGGATTTCCAAACACCCCAGACTCTTCTGTGATTCTTTGCATGTCCTAGGGCTTCCCTTCCTGCTCCTCATCCCTCAAAGGCTGCTCCTGGTCCCCTTATAGCCCCTGGGGCTCCCCCCTTGTTCCAGGCCCCCCAGGCACCCCAGTCTCTTCTTGGGTCCCCATCTATCTGCCTGTCCCTGTCAGGCATCTCTTCCTCTTGCAGGTATTTCTGGGAAGAGCCAAGTTCTGTTTGCTGTTGTCTTCACTACCCGGTACCTGGACCTGTTCACTAACTTTATCTCCCTGTACAACACCTCCATGAAGGTAATGGCCTGTGGCCTCAGGGTGCTGAACCCCATCCTAATTCTGGGGTCCCTCTTGGCACCTCTGAGCCCAGATTCTCCGTCTACCTAGGGCTTTTTCCTGCTCCAAGCCCCTGAACCTCTGGAGCTCCAGCACTGCCTTTAGCCCCTCAACATCCTAAGTGTTTCTATGCCCCCCACCCCGCAAAGCTATGCTCCCCTTGAAGCTGTGGGATCATCTAA